CCCTGCAGCTCATGACTTGGGAGTTGGAAAAACTCAGATATCTCTGCTGCCTTCCCAAACAGACATGAGTTATCACAGCTATGCTTCTCCACCCAAGACAAAGACTGGGCCATCATTAAACTGTGCTCATGTCCCACATTCACAGGGACAAATATAGCAATAGGACATGAACAAGAACAAAGACTCATTTCCCATTTGCTACAAGTAGGGCTGTAGGAAAAAGCTCCCTCCCCCTTCTCCTCCTCCCAACACCGTATCACATTATACTGTGTGCAACCAAGAGCCCAGGGCTGCAGCACCACCATTTTGTAGGGCTCTCAAACAAAAGACCAAGTCCTTATTATGGCTTTGATGTCTTTTATTAATGCACACCAACCATTATTCTGCTAAATATTCAGCTAGACTAAAAATAAAAATAAAAAGAAACAGTGAGTATGCTGAAGTCTGGTGTTTTTTACCTGCTGTTATTTCAGTAATCAGACAACTCCCTGAAAGGAGTATTTAGCCACCCAGAAGTTGACCTCTTCTCTGAGGCAACCAGCAACTGGACAAGAGGAAATGGCCTCAAGCCACACCAGGGGAGGTTCAATTTGGACATCAAGAAGCATTTTTTCACTGAAAGGATTGTAATGCACTAGCACAGGCTGTCCAGTGAGGTCACCATCCCTGGAGGTGTTCTCAAAACAACTTAGTGCTACGGTTTAGTTAATATGGTGGTGTTGCATCAAAGGTTGGACTATCTTGGAAGTCTTTTCCAACATTAACTATTCTAATAATCTGTGCAGATGAGGACAAGGAGATATGTCCACTACTTATCAAGGCATTGAGCCCTCGTCACTAAAAAATGCCCCACAGAACACACAAAGACCAAAACACTGCTGCATATTCTACACAGGCACAATCAGCTGCTTTGGATGAGTTCTGTTGTTTCATTCCACTCAGGCTGAGGGGTTCCTACAGGCAGTCATTTCCCTACAAAGTTCAGAACAGACCCCATCCTGTAGGAAGTAATACTGCAAGGCCAAATCAGTTATATTCAGGATGCCTTTCTACTTACACAATGCTGACATTTAAAATTTATATGCTCTAGTCAAAGTTGCACCTACATCTCTTAAAGGTCAGCCAGCAGCCCTAGGTCATTAGCACTGTGCAAACAGGACAAAGGTCTCTGCTAAATAAACCAGAGAACCACCAGGCTTCTCCAATTTTCTGCAAGATAGGACAAAACAACAATCCTGGAAGAACAAACATCCTTCAAGAGCTGTATACCTGGTCCTATATGTACCTAAAGCAACACCTGTCTAATCTGCAATTGTTTGTTTATACACAAGGGAAACATGCAGGAGCAAGTTTCTCCGGTGCATATTTGCATCTAAAACCTGGCTCCCAACCTCCCTCTGAACAAAGAGTGGACACACACTGCCCATTTCACACATTAATCACACTAAGGCAGGGCTGACCAGAGACCAAGTCTGGGTTAAGACTTTCACCAAGACAGCCTGAGATTCCCTGGTCCCCAGCACCCCTCTCCTCCTGTTGTCCCCACAAGACCTCTGGGTGCTGGCAGTGATAGCCTGGGGCGGCTGGGGTGACATTCCCTGTCCCAAAGCTGTCACTGTAGGGGCTGCTGGCCAAGGCTATTAATAACCAACACTGCGCCCAGAGGTTTCCTTATGCCAAACCCAAGGCCTGTCTTCTCAAAGTCTTTTCTGCAGCTGTCAAGAACTCATGTGATTGATTACAGAGCTCATTTGCGTCTTCAGCCTAAATCAGAGAAGGCAACAAACCCCAAATTCATACCAACTAACCACTCACCAGAGATTTGACAGTTTTATCTGCAATTAAATCACTGACCTACAGTTCTGCTCTTGCTCAAGTGCATGAGAACAGGGCCTCCATCAAACCACACATTTCATAATTTACAAAGAGCAAGAACAGGCCTCCACTCCCTACAGACCCAGCAAATATGATATGTTTTGCTTATTATTTTAATAAATGTTATTCAATGTGTGAATTTAATTAGCATGTTATTGAAAATGGTTTCATCTTGTATTGAAACTGGCTTGAAGTATTCACAAAGGGTAATCCTTCGGGATTAGTAAAGAGATGGGTGGATGAGAAGTTGTTGGCAGCAGAAGGAAGGTATCAACTGGAATATCAAATTGTAACAGTATTTGTCTGATACAACCTTGTGTTGCTCAACCCTTCACGATGAATTACAAAATCTCCACAAGTGCCGGAGCCGGATGCAGAACACATAAAACATGAAAATGTGATAATGCATAAATGTATATAGGTTTGGAGATGTATTGTGAGATCTAAATGAGAGCTAGAGAGATATTCCAGTCCAAATTACAGAACAGTAATAGAATTTTGCTCTTTTTATCATAAACTGACTTCTGTAACACAATAAAGACTCAGGTCCTCCAATTTCAGATGGCTGTGAATGGAAAACAGGTGAAAGCATCACACTGGAAAAAGTCCCAGGTCCTTCTGCCCCCTACCATTGCTAAGAATTGCAGTACATTGTGAATAGTATAAAACAGAGTATTCAAATGTGCTGAAGAATAAAACAGTTACAGAGACAGAGCCTGAGAGGAAGAATTAAATGACGTCATGACAGAAGATAAAGTATTGATCAGAAACAAGATTAAATTTCTTTATGATTGCAACTGCTGCAGTAGAGTTTCTCAATCCATCCATGGAGTCACTTGCGAAAGAGCTAATTGATCTATTATCCCAGACATGGACACAGCTGCAAGAGTCCAGGGACACACTTAAAATGCAGAGCTGTTCAGAAGAAAGGCCTGACGCAAACAGAACACTGCACAGTCCAGCTGCAGCAGCACAGCTTTGCTTCTTCAGTACATGGGAAAAGTAAAAAACAGACCTTGGGGGGAAGTATGGGCAGCAAGGACCTGAAGATCAAAGAGGAGATACAGGGCTAATGAAGATGTGATGAAGGCAGGTATCAGTAGCCTGGGAACTGATATAGTTTTCCACAGGGAAGCTGATACCAAGGGAGCAATCACAGTCACATATATGAACTTAGGAGGGGAAAGTATCACAAGACTAAGGAGGACATCACTGTAAGTTAGAGCAGAGACAAAGAGGACATTGGGGACTGAAAAGAGACAAGGGTTATGTTTGCTCTGTTTCTTAAAGTGAACTGGTCCAGCAGAAGATGCTCAGCACCACTACAGAAGAGGCAGCTGTAGACAAAGTTCACCACTTCAGTCTGTCTCTAAGCAGCTGGGATTAATTCCACCAGTTCAGACTGTCTGGAACTTCAGCAGCAGAGCTGAAGTTTTGGAATGGCACTCCAGCCCTGCAGTTAATCAGGATCAGTAGGAAAACAGTTATATTAGCAAACACACAAATATTACCATCACACATTCTTTCAGCAATAGGACATCTCCATATACAAAGTAGGAAACGGTTCTGTTTCAGCATATTTCCATTAAGTGCATATTTCAAGCTCCACAGGTCTATATAAAGTCAGAAAGCAACAGTAACAGGACACTGACCATCCCAGAGGTAAATGAAATAAAAGCAGTAAAAGACTATCCCTTCACACAGTGGAACAAGAAAGGCTTTTAAAAAATTCTTCACATGGTTATCATTTTACTGCCCAGAGTGAAGTATGTGGATTGCTTCATGCTGACCACTGCAAACAAGCATTTCGTTACAAGGCTCACTGGTTTGGCACACTGTATTTGTCAATTGGTTTAAAGATAACAGCATGGGTTAAAACAAAAAAACAAAACAAAACAAAAAAAAAAAAGCATCATTTACATAAGCAAATTCCACCTCAAAGGACATCTGAGTACAAGCCCTTCTCTCCCCCACCACAGAAAGCCACCTCTAAAAGAGAAGGCAGCAATTTTCCAAGAATGCCACAAAGGGTTTTATCTCAGCAATAACTCTCAAGCATTGAAGGAGCCAAAATATTGCTCATTTTCTTTTCAAGTTCAGCCCAAAAGTTATTGTTACCACAAGGACTTTTAGCCTACTGACGCAGGGAGATTAGCAGCTCGCAGCTAAGATTGGCGATAACCTCACTTTACCAGCCCAATGTTTTCTCCATCTGCTCCCAAATGTATCAAATGTACTGCTGCATGGAAGGAAAATTAAAGTGCACCAGAGGCACCAAGTAATTTACTAATCACAAGCAATCCTTGTGATTTATGCCTAAATTGGTCTCCAAACACCGTGCTCGATAAATCAGAAAGGTTTTCTATCTTGACACTTAAGCACTTTCTTTGAGCGTGACCTCACATTAGTTAAGCATTGAGGTGCCATAATTAGCTAAGGATGGAGCAGAAAAAAGACTGACTTATTAATAGAACTGCCTTGGAAACAGGAAGTTTATTTGATTTCCCTAAAAATTGCATGACACGGAAGTTTGCTAGCCAGCTGAGGGCTGTTCCCACATTTTTAACTGGAACTTGAGAGTTTTGAACCCTGCATCCTCACTCTCAGTGGTTTTTACCCTGCTGAATGGGATGCTCTACCACATTAACAATGCTTTGCAAACTCTAGAACGGTTTGACTTTTTATTTTTTACGATTTTTTTAAGATCGAAAGGATCTTAAAGAGCACCCAGTTCCAACCCCCTGCCACAGGCAGGGACACCTTCCACTAAATCAAGCTGCTCAGTGCCCCTTCCAGCCTGGCTTTGAACACTTCCATGGATGGGGCAGCCACAGCTCCTCTGGGCACCCTGTGCCAGGGTTTCACCCTCCTCACACTATTGATGTGGAAGAGGAGTCAGAGTAAGGAAAGGGCTGAGGAACAATACTGACAGACAAGGGCTTCAGCAGAAAGACAGGATTGTTAAGCAGCATCCAGCCAGCACTTCCTTCCGGCAGCGAGTTCCAGTCCCCGCAGAACGGTTCCTCTGTGCCGCTCCCGCAGCGCGCCAAGCAAAGAAACTCTCTGCTGGGAAGTAAAAACGCAGTTTATTTTAAGGTGCTTCCTCCTGGGCTAGGGAATGTTAGGCTGGATTGAATTACATGCAAAGAAAAGGGAATGCAAACAGAGGCAGGCATGCAGGCGTAAGCACAGAACATACTGGGTCATGAGGGACTTTTGCTAGAGGTCAAGGATTGGGCCCCACAGGTGGCAGCAGGTCAGTGTCAAAAGGACATGCACAGGTGACTTGTGGTAAAATCAGATTTACATACCCAAACGCACCCAGAAGAAAACCCCCGTGGCACTCATGTTATCTTTAGAAACAGCACAACTAAACTACTCACAGGATCACACTGCCAAGGAATTCTCATATTTTACAGCAGTTAGGAAGATGCCAGCCAAAAAGGAATGTTAGAAGCTAAGATTCTGGAGAGTCAAAGCTAGAAAGGAACCGGAAACTCTGAAAAAGACTGCACAAGTAAAGCACTGAAACTGGGGCACCACTCCCAGAACAGGGAGAGAATAGGAGCTGTCACTTGAATTAAGTATCTCTTCAGTGACTCAGAAGTTATTCTTAAACTCTTCTTCCTTCCTGTAGGACTCAGGTGGTGGCACATCCTTGGCAGCACCCATGTGTTTATCTCTTCTCTTCACATGATACTCAGCTTTTTTATGCCCCTGCACATAAAGTACAAGCGACTAGGTAGGGAAAAGCTGTGCAGCACTGAGGACCAATGAGCCCATTAATCATAGATGTGTAAATAACACTAAACATAATTAAATAGCATCATGTTGAACCTTGGAGCCCTCAGTGTACAGCATCACACAGAGCAGTGCAAGTACAAAAGGCTCCCAATACTGAAAGAGAAAGCCAGAGCTGCATGTTTTATACACTCCACGTGCAAACTACAGTACAGCAGCCTCCCTACATTCTAAGATATTTTTCAAACTCATAAAATAAACAAGTCTGGCATAAGCCATCCTGGGCAAACGTAAGTAGCAACACGCTGCCAGACTCATATAAGGAACACGGTGATGGAATGAAACCTGCACAATTGCCCTGACTGCAGGAATCGCTTCCAAAGGCCCTTCTACTAGTGTAAGTCAGCATGCAAGCTGCCCTGTCCGAGTCCTCTGTGGTTTGTTTTTTTTCCTGTCCAAAACACTAAGGTTTTAATCTTAGTAATTACGGACAGTTAATACCGTACATGCCTACAGGTAGCAAGCAAGCTAATTCCTCCGGGTCTAGTGCGCAACCCGGCAGGGTGGCTTTGAGGGAAGGACCCTTGGGGAGCGGGGCGGTCGTGTCGCATCACACAGCCCCGCTCTCGCTCGGGGAACAGGACAGGACGCTAAAGGGTCGCAGATGATGCCACGGTGCTACCGTGCACAGGTGCCACCGCTGCCCCGGCGAGACACAGCTGGAAGGTGTCCAGAGGCCACGTCCTGCTCCCGAGACGAGCACGGAGAGGGCTCCAGAGCGGCTACGGGACGAGGGGAGCGGCCAAACCCTCCCTCTGCCCCGGAACGCGGGGCCGTTCAGCCCCGCCGGGCCAGATCCCACCGCCCGCCGCTGCTCACCCGCAGATCCAGCTCTGTGCGGTGCAGGCCGAGGCGACCCAGCCCCACGGCCAGATCGTGGATGCAGAGCGCCCCGTCTCGATTCACGTCGAGCTTCTGGAACAGGGCGCGAAGACGGCGGTCCTGCTCGGAAGCCTCGGACAGCGACCGCCCGCAGGACCCCGCGTTCCCCCCGCCGCCGCCGCTCTCCACCGCAGATCCATGCGGGGATCCGCATGGGCAGAGAACGCCGCTCACAACCGGGGAAGCGAGAGAGCGCCGCGCCCCCGGCATGGCCGAGCCGGCACCAACCACCCCTCACGCCCGCGGCACCGGCAAATGGCGCCGCTTCCGCCTTCGCGCCACGCGCCGTAGCCGCCACGTGACGCCCCGCGCCGGCCAATCACAGCGGGCGACACGCCCTGGGCCACGCCCCGCAACGCCCACGTGGAGTGGAGGGTCATGACGTCACGGGGACTCCCTCGCCTCCACCAATCGGAAGGAAGCGCCGCGGTGTTTCTGAGTCTTGCACAGGGAGCGGTGCAGGCGCGCGGGCCAAATCGCGATTGGCCGAACACCCTGAGAAGGCGGTGGTAAAGCGATTATCTCCAATCACAGCGAGAGTCGGGAGGCAGTTTGAGCTTGACGGACGTCGCGCGCATCCGGTAGGTTGGAAAACAGTGCGCGCTCTGAGTTGATGGACAGGAGAAGCACCCAATGGGATTGGAGCGAGGAAGGCCTAACCCCTCACCGGCCCCACGCAGGCCCAGTGCCCTGAGACCAGCGGCGGGGCGGGGCCGCCTCTTGGCTGCCTGATGGGCAGGGCTGCTGACCAATAATAATGCGACATTGCAGGCGGGAGGCGGGAAACTCGCGTGATGGGCAGGCGACCGGACCAATCAGACGTGGCAGGAAGAGGGGCCGATTCTGGAAGCCATTACGCCAGTGCCGCAGGGCGGGGGCCGTTGCGCGGGGCTGCCGGGCGGGCGCCGTACGCAATTTGCGTATCGTTGGCGGTGCCAAAGGGGGAGCGGGGGGGACCGACCCCTCCGGGCCCTGAGGGGCCTCGGGGCCCCCCTGTTGTCCCCGGCCCCGGGGGTGGGGGGGCCCTGCCGCCCCTCGGCCCTGCCCAGCGTCCCCCAGGCCCCCCAGGTGTGACCCCGTGCCCAGTCCCCGGTGCCCCCCATGGCCATGGCGTCGCCGCCGGCGCCCCCAGCCAAGAAGCGGAAGATGAACTTCTCGGAGCGGGAGGTGGAGATTATCGTGGAGGAGCTGGAGCGGGGAAAGCACCTCCTCGTCAACCACTTCAACGCGGGCGTGCCGCTGGCCGCCAAGGCCGCCGCCTGGCACGACATCCTGCGCCGCGTCAACGCCGTCGCCACCTGCCACCGCGAGCTGCCCGAGGTCAAGAAGAAGTGGTCCGACCTCAAGACCGAGGTGCGGCGCAAAGTGGCCCAAGTGCGGGCTGCCATGGAAGGGGGAGGCGAGAACCAGAACGGCGGCGGCAACGGGCCAGAGGGCGAGGACCCGGCGGGCGCCGCGGCCGCCCCGGTGATCCTCACCCCCATGCAGCAGCGCATCTGCAACCTGCTGGGAGAGGCCACCATCATCAGCCTGCCGAGCGGCGACTGCGGCGCGGGTGACGGGAGCGAGATCCCCATCACCGCGGCGGCCACCACGGTCACCCTGACCCAGAGTGAGTGCTGCGCCCGCCGGAACGCTCTGGGCTGGACTGCAGGGCCACACTGACACACCCCGAGCCTCATGTGGGGAGAGAGCCACAGAATGGTTTTGGTTGGAAAGGACCTTAAAGAACACCCAGTTCCAACCCCCTGCCATGGGCAGAGACACCTTCCGATAGACCAGGTTGCTGTATCCGGCCTGGCCTTGAACGTTTCAAGGATTCCTACAAGTTCTTTGGGCAGAGAGAAGGCCCAACAAAAAGAAATCCCCACATCTCAGTAATGAAATGCTCCTCCCAGTCTGCCCTTGTGCTGTAGGGGAGTGGCCCCAAGGCACGAACATACAAAGTCGGCTTTGACGGCTGGACTCAGCCTTAAGAACAAGGGAATCGAGGATCCTTTGCACCGTGGGATATCCTTCAGTCCCTCTCTGGCAACAAAAGCAGGGGGAAAAACATCTTCAGGGCTGATTTTTCAGTGTGCAGTGTCCCAAATAGAAGCTCTTCTACCGACAGGGGCCATTCTGTGTCTTGTCTTTGCTGTTATGTCAGTTAGTTAATGCTTCTTGGAAAGATTGTTCTAAACTGGAGGTTGAGAAATTATATTGTCTAGACAGATAAGGCATTCCTTTGGATTGTGCAGCCCAGAAGGAAGCTCGACTGAGGGTGGAGTAGACTTAAATAGGTCATTTTGTGCATTGCTGGCCATTGTATGTTATCTCGCTGAACAGGCCTTATTCCTGTGATATTCACTGAATAGGCCTGTAGGTAAAAATCCTGTCTCACAGCTACTCCTGACTCCCTTTCTGTCCTTTGTTCTCAGTTCCTGCAGAGACAACCTACCACAGTCTGGAGGATGGGGTTGTGGAGTACTGCACCACGGAAGCCCCCACCACCGTCACTGCTGAGGCACCCTTGGAGATGATGGCCCATCAGCACGAGGTGTCTGCCAAGCCCCAGGAGCTGAAAAGCCGCATTGCCCTGAACTCAGCCAAGCTCCTGCAGGAGCAGCGAGTAACCAACCTGCACGTGAAGGAGATTGCCCAGCACCTGGAGCAGCAGAACGACTTGCTGCAGATGATTCGCCGCTCGCAGGAGGTGCAGGCGTGTGCCCAGGAGCGGCAGGCACAGGCCATGGAGGGCACACAGGCAGCACTGAGTGCCCTCATCCAGGTCCTCCGCCCCATGATTAAGGACTTCCGTCGATTTTTGCAGAGCAATACACCCAGCCCATCGGTCACCACTGACCCTGGCCAGACAGGGCAGCAAGATGGTATGATCCAGTGAAAGAAGCAGTGATGGGAGGGGAGGTTTAGTTTGATGTTAGGAAAAATTCCTTCCCTGAGAGGGCTGTCAAGCCCTGGCACAGGCTGCCCAGGGCAGTGTTGGAGTCACCATTCCTGGAGGGATTTAAAAGATGTGTAGATAGGGCATTTGGGGACATGGGTTAGTGGTGGATGTGGCAGTGCTGGGGAAACAGTTGAACTCAATGATTGTAAAAGTCTTTTCCAACCTAAACAATTTTGTGCTGCTATGGGACATCAGTCATGCTAAAAACCTGCCCATGCTGGCAGAGGACACTGGGGGTGCTGCCTTTTCTCAATGTGGATGGCTCTCTTGGAGTTTGGCTGAATCTAAACAGCTTTCTCTGCTAATCTTGTTCTAATCTGCCTTTTCAGATTCTCATACAGAGCCATAGCAGGATGTGTAATAAACCAGCAATTTAACGTGGATTGCTTTAGTTCCTCAAACAACAGATTTATTTTAAAAAAATATATTTTTTTAATTTCTGTTTGGAAAAAATCTGTCCTAAGTATGACACCTCTCTTTTTGTCTCTCTCTCGAGATCTATAGCCTTTAACTGACTTCTAAGGTGGAGAGTTTTGTCGGGAGATCAGTGCTGCAGCTGCCAAGGTACAGTGATCGTGAACCCACAGTGCACACAGTGAATGCATTTCTGGCTCTTGCTGAAAGCATTTACTGGAAACGTGGTACCGGATATGGTAGAACCTTCCCTCTGCACTGCGAGCTGTGGATCGTGCTCCTGCAGCGTCACATCCAGCCCCTGCAGACCAGCACCCAGCCTCTGTGCAGTTCAAGTCCCACCTGCCTCCCCTGGGTATCCCAGTGGGATTGAAACAGTGCATTCACCTCATGTTTTATCTGTGTGCAGTCATGAAATTTCTCTGTCAGCTTGGCAGATGTGATGAAAGTTTCATGTCTTGGGTACCAGAAACTCTCCTGGGATACGTCTTGGCGCAATGTCTTTATTTGTCGCAGTAAACACCCGAGGGCCTGGATGAGTTTCACTTGAGTGGATGGAATGGTGAAACTCCATCTCTGCCTCATCTGCATAGTTTGTCACCTCCAGAATGCATCAAAGTGGATCTGGACTAAGGTCCTGAACTAAGCTGCAGCCACATAGGACTTCCCAATGTTTAGCAGTTTGTCAGTCACTGATTTGAGTGAATTTTGGGGCATTACTTGGTTCTGCTGCTGGTGATGTTTGTTTTGTACTGTTTGGGAGTTGGAAGAGAGTCCAGCCATTCCACATTTGTCTGTTGGCTGGGCTCATCCTAAGAAACAGAGCTGAGGTTCTCCTCATTATCTTACACCGTTATACAGGGTGAAACAAAATTGCAGCCACTTCTGAAGCATTCAGGCTATGGGGCTTGGTCCTTAATGAGAAAGCTTAATGATTCTCACGGTCTTGCAGTAACTTCATAAACTTTTAGATGTACAAGGTCCACTTGTACATGCATGGAAGAAAACTAAGGGAAAGAAAAAAGAAAGTGTAAGTCTTCTCCTTCTACCTTGCAAAGTGGCTTATATTTAACAGGCTTGTTGCTTACCAGGTTATTGCTTTTGAAATTGAACTTTTCCAGAGCTGAGGGTATTTACTTGCTGTTCAGTCTCCTTTAGGGCTGACGAAGGAGTGAATTTGCACAATCAAATGAAACCTTTACACAGCCTTTAATGGGGAGATGCTGATGGGAGACCCCTGGTTAGAGCAGTAGGCGAAGAGGTCACCACTGTTGGTCCCTGGCCTTTACTCATCTCCTCTTGTCTACAAATCTGATGGGGGAGAAAAGGACAACACAGTGAGAAGGGTTTGGTCCCTGGAAGACTCCCAAGCCCTTGGGACTGACACCTCCAAGCTGAGTCAGGATGGATTCTGCCTTGTCCGGCATCTTGCCACATGAGTAGCACTTGCCTGACTCTTCCTCTTAGACTTTGTGGAATCAAATCAATTGCTGAATTGGAATATATTTTTAAAGTGAGAACTATGTCATATGTGTTGGTTTACCTCATTTGTGTAATGATCTCTCCTTTACAAATACGAATTTTAATAAAAAATACATTTTGGTAAACAGGCTGTTTCAGTTCATTGGTGTGTGCCAAGGCAGAAGTGAAAATGAGTTCATGACAACAACTTTGCAACAGAGAATCCTCACTATGAAGGGACCCAGGAAAGCTGTGAACAACCATGAGTCACAGTAGCTTTTCCTCGTTTGTGAACCTGGTGGCCTTGTATTTACATAATTACAGTCTTTTTCAAATAATAGCTTTTACCTTGGAGCATGAGTTATTTTACAGTGTCTGACGGATTACTGAAATACAGTAATCTCCCAACTGCTCAGAAGATGCCA